TGGTGTGCGTGGGAGTGGGGGGGGGGGGGGGGGGCGGCGGTTAATATAGCCATCCAAGATTACACATTTCACATTTCACATAGCCAGTTAAGCTAGGACAGTGTCATGCTTTGGTTACCTCTGTGATTAGTGGAGACAGAAGGAAAGGGATTTTAAAGTAAGATTCAGAGTGGAACCCTGAGTACTTTAAATTGTCCTCTAGAGGAGTTCCTTTCCTTTGACTATAAATAGAGGGAGAGCAGTGCACCTAACTTAACAACGTAGTATCCTTCCTTTGTGTGTCTGTAACTTAACACACTTGTGCAGAAGCTGGTTCTACAGGAAAAAAAAAAAAAGGTTCTTTCTTCTGAAACTGAAAGCTGTTAGGAAAACTGCTCTTGTGGTCCCGTGCTGTTACAGTGAGTTGCAGATCTCTTACTGTTTGGTGGGCAAGTGAGTTGTAAGTCTCATCAAAGTCATGAGGCTGCAGTGATAGCATCGAGAGGTGTCAGTAGTATCTTACCTTTCTATTTCATTGTATAAGCTGGAAAATGTGATTTTGCAGCCAGTATTCCTGTCCATGCATGCATTTTTTCATATCAACTTATTTCTCACATATTAAAATAAACAGAGCTCAGAAGGGCAGATAGGTCCTGAACCCTTTTTTTTTTTTTTCCCCCTCTGACTTTTTTTATTATTCTCCCCTTCTGTGGTGGGTTGACCCCCACCAGCTGCTAGGCACCACAGCTGCTCACTCATTCCCCCCATGGGAGGGGATAGGGGAGAGCATAGGAAGAGCAGAAGCGAGAAAACTCTTGGTTTGAGATAGACACTTAAATAAGTTAAGGAAGGAGGAAGGGAAAAAACCCAGAAGTGATGCAAATGCAATCACTTGCCACATCCCACAAGTAGACTGATGCGCAGCTAGTGTCCAACCAATGACTACCTCCCCCAAAATCCCCTTCCCTCAGATTTTCTTGTTAAGCATGGTGTTATATGGCATGGAATATCCACTTAGTCAGTTTGGGTTAGCTGTCCAGGTTGTGTCCATGCCCAACTTTGTGCCCACCTTCAGCCTATTTGCTCTGAAGGGTAGAGTGGAGAAAAAGAGAAAGCCTTCATGCTGTGCAAGTACTGCTCAGTGGCAGCCAAAACACCGATGTGTTCTCAGCACTGCTTTAGTCAAAAATCCAAAACACAGCACCTACAGGCTGCTCTTAAGAAAAGCAGTTTCAAAAAAGCCTCCATCCCAGCCAGACCCAGTACACACACTCCTTTCAGTTGGCATCAACCCACTTCTTTCACGTTTCAGTTTTGCTAGTATTGATGGCTTCTGCTCTGTGGTTTCTGTCATCTCTATCAACTAGCTTTATGTATTTGCTTCATCAAGTGCCCTTTCCTTCCAGCCATTCTCTGAGATCCACTATTGCCTTTGCTTTTTCCCTTTTAATTTTTTTTTCCTTTTTGCAACGTATAAGACAATTAATGAGCTCCAAGATGAAATTTGGAATTCAGCTTGTAATGAGATAATGCATCCATTTGAATGCATGAAGCGAACACGTTCTTCATTGCGGGTCTTCTTTTATTGTGTATTAGAATGTCAACATGTATACTCTCCATAAAAGTTGCTTGCCTGTTCACTGGGAGACTAGTTAACCTTAATTCATCTGAAAATGGTATGTCCATTGCTGTGTTAAGCTTACATCAGAAGTTGCAGAAGACTGCTGATAGGGCCAGATGCACAAATCTAATGAGCATTCTTTCAGGTTAGAGTGCCCAGGAGTGCTCATTAAATAAATGGCAGTGGTAGAGGGATGACTCTAAAATGCAAAATCTCTGTTCTGCGCCAACTTGTTAGAGAAAATGTTATGCACCAAAGTTATAATAAAACAATACCATACTTCAGCATGCAAGTTAGCTTCTAAGCTTACTTCATGAGCTTTTTTCTCATATACAATAGCTACCTATATGTACTGCAGTACTAAGAATTTGAGACTCCAGCTTTGCCCAATTACAAGATGTACTGAAATGGAAGGAGAGCATTACCTATTAATATCTTTATATCTGAAACTTCTTAAGTGTAAACTGATACGTTTTTGACAGTTTTGTATAAATTGTAAAAATCAATGAAGTTTCTGATTTTCTTTATGCAGAACCCTTCTTATTCATAAAGATACAATTCTTTGAGCCACATAGACCCCATGGTATTTGGGTATTCAGTTTCTGCATGCAATTTCTACTTTGCCGTGTACACTGGTAGACTGTAAATACATCAGTCAAGAGGGATCTCGGACAACTTTGCCAGTTATGGTATTATAATATTTTTGTTTAGTTTCCTATTGAGTCAAAAAAAGTAAGATGTGTTGGCATAGACTTTAATGTCACATTTTGTTTTCAAAAAAATGAAATGCTGCAGTCCAGAGAGCTCCAACAAAAAAATAGATCAATTGTTACAGTACAGCATTAGAAAAAAAACAGTCTGATCACTTCCTTTCTCCTCTGAATTCCCAGTCTTCCTGTATATTTACTGTTCCCCTGCTTACTCAGATAGAAGTGGCAGTTCCACTTCAGCTTTGGCTTATTGCTTGGTGGAACAATTACATTGGTGAATCCTTCGAACAGTCAAAAGTGGGATGCTGTAGAAATTGGTTTTTGACCATTTTATCGCATGCCATCCTCATACATGTTGGTGTGCAGGTGACTTTACGCTTATTTTTAGAACTTAAATCACTTCGTAAGAAGCCGTAGGAAAAAGTTTGAACTTTCTTTGACTGTTCTGCTTGTCTGCTTTAATAGGCTAGATTTTCTCTTTTTTTCCCTGACAATCTTGGAGATTTTTGCAGCAGTTGTTACCTCACAGTTGGTTATTGTGGGAACTGTCAAGGTGAAAATGGGGATAAGAAAGCAGAAAATGACATTTTATTTGTTAACACTGATGTAGTTTTCTTCTTCAGTTCTTGGAAAGCATTATTGGTCTTTAAAAGCATAAGTTTTCATTACAGCCTCAATGTCCCTAAAGATTTTACCCATGGTGTTTTGTAAAATAATGTATTGTTTTAAACTTGTTTTAAAAACATCTGGACTCATTGCACCACTATTTTTTTTTTGGCATCTCAGTACTATTAAATGGTCATTTTAAACAATGTTTAAGAAAGAAATTTGCATCTGGTTGAAATACTGCTATGTCAGATTTCATGCCAGTGAGACTCCAATGAGTAAGTTACAGCATATTCAGTGCGTAATGGGAGCACTGAATGGGCCTGGATCACAAACACAGTGCTGCAGTTCCACATTTCTGGTTTTCCTTCTATGAAGATGAAAATATGGTATTCAGAATTAAGTGAGAACAGTCAGTTAGCATTCCTGTAAACCAGCACATGAGAGTGTGCAGTAGCTTTCAGCTCAGATCTATCGCAAGGGACAGGTGTGTGTGTGTTGGTAGTTGGAATTAATTTGGCATGAAGAAAGTTGACCAAAATGCAGAACAAGTTAAAGTCAAGTTCAGGTAGTACAGTATCTAGGAATTGAAGCTAATCAAGTTTTGCCTGCATTTTTCTAATATGGCAAGAAAATATTTAGTTTCTGTCAGTTATTTTGATGTTTTGACATTCTGTCTTATCCATTTCAGTCTAGCATTGCTGGGTTTTCCTACTCTTTGGCTGCGGAAAATGACAATCACTTTAAAAAACCTAAAATGAATGTAAAGGAATTTTGGGGAATATGTCTGGTTTTATGTGCACAAGTCGTGAGTATGGGGTTCAGTACCTGGTAGTGTACGTAAGTCTGTCTGTCTGAGTATTCCTGGGCTTTTCTCTTCTTGCTGCCTGGAAATCATCAGATGAAAATGTGAAGGCTGGGTATGTTTGCCCTTGATTTTTCAAAGGTCTGGCAGCAGAGTCAGAGCTGTAGCTCCAGCCAGGTTGTTGGTATCCAGAAATCTGAGTGTGCCCACTGCTAGAGATAAGGTCTCTAGTCTATAGATTATGAAAGTGTTGGACATGCTGCACGCGAGTTGTGTAGCCTGCATTCAGACATGTGGCATCCACAGACATTGTTTTCGTGTGCATAATGTAGCTAGACCTGCTCTGCCTGGAGTGTTTGTAAAACCTTCTGCAGCGTGTGTAAAGAAACCGGCATTTATATGTGCTCACTTTTTCCTACCTAAATTGGGCAGGTGTTTTTGTGGAAGGGAACCCGCTGTTTAAATAATCAGTGTTTGTTTGTGCTAATGAATCCTGAGGTGAATTAGAAAGAGTACAGTATTTAGTAATGCATCATTTTAGTAATTCCACTTAACACAGACGCAGTTTTTAATTGTTTGCTGTACTTTGGTAATCTTGTCATTCCCTTTTTTTTTAAAGCCAAATTTGTTCCTCATAGTCCGTTTAGCCTTAGACTTTACTTTATTTGATAACAAAGTAGCTGCTGGTTCAATTTGTAAGAGCACTGGAAAAGAAGAGAATTATGGCTGTGTATATTAGATAGATAAGTAGGGGGAGTTACAAGATTGGTTCACAAAAGACATCAGTGGCTTTCTAGGCTGAGAACTTGGTTTCTTTGCTCATGGTCTCCAGGTAAAGGGGATGGGTCTGATTTGTGTCACACCAGTTTTATAGCACATCTACCATTAGTCTAAGTACATTTTTGTACTGTTTCACAGAACAGAGAGCAGTAGTGTGCAGTCTTCTCAAAAGCCATACGTCATTACAAATTAAAAATGTAGTATCTAGAGCTGTGTTGTGAAAGTTTTGAGGAGGAAAGTCTAAAATTCTGTATTGCTATGGTGATACATTATCTTTAAAAACAAGGGAAAACGAGACTGTTTTGACGGGATTTGTTTGAGTGGAAAAGTCAGGCTTTGGTTTAGTGTGTACCTGCAGTCTTTTTGCTCAGAACTGTTCAGAGGATCTGGCTGCAGTCAGTATGTGCTTGGAAAATGTTTTTGCTGTGATGACAGTATACTTAGAATAGCTCCTTGGCTGTCTTTAAACTGTTACCTCTCACAACTTCTGAGAGCTGGCTTGTCCTCCTCTGCATTTATGGCACACACTGCAGAAGTCCAGTGGCACGCTGGATTTGGATTCCTTCTTGAAAAGGTAGGGGCTGCCACTTAATATCTCTTCAGCCTTCAGTAGACCTAATGAGTTCTGTGCTACAGTTAAAGATCCATCAATGCCTTGATGACAAACAGCACAGCATTCAACAGACTGTGCAGTATCTGTTCTAAAAACAATCTCAGATTTCACTTAGGCTATAAATTGAATCCCCTACTGTCATACCTTCTGAGCATTTACGGTGCTGTGGAAAAGCTTACATAGCTTCTCTGAAAAGACTGGAAAAATAAAACCTTGCTTCTTACGGTGTAACCTTTCCATATTACTGAAGGGTGAATGCAAGCTAAACTTATTCCTTCAGTCCAAAGTAAATAGAAGTGATTGCAAGGCAAGAGTGAAATATCTGTAGACAGTTTCAAGAAAAATCTCTTCTTGGTAAAAGGTAGCAGTGACAGTTGTTAGATGGCAGCATTATATTTTCTCGTATTTTACATATTTAAAATACGTGAGGAGGTGAGAAAGCTTCTCCCCAAATGCTAATTTTAGGGAGGAGTTAAGAAGAAAAGATCACTCCGTTATTGGAAGTTCCAGTAAGACAGGCTGGCAGATAAGCTATATGTCCCTATTTTAGACATAACATAGTTTGTTTGCTGTTAGGTTAATAAAATTACTCCAAAGCCTTGTGACTTTACAATGAATTCACAAAACCAAGTTTACTTTGAGTATTTATACTCCAAATGTAATTTTATAATTAGACATGTTTGCACTCTGGTATCTTTTTGATGCATTTAACTTTTCTTGAACAGAATGAAGACGGATTAACAGAATTCTTTGAAAACGTGGTAAAACAGACGCAGATGAAGCCAAAGAAAGTGATCGGCTGGATTCTAAAAGACCTGCTCAGTTACTTGAAACAACATTCCCTTACAGTAAAGGAAAGGCGAGGCCTCTTGATAACTACAGTTGTGAAACAAAAGTGATCCTTTTCTCATGAACCATGAATAGTATTGCATCACTCTGTTGCTCGCTTCTGCTTAAGTTATTATCTGTGAAGTTTGTTACGGTAGGCAGTACTGCGTAGGCCTTGATGCAGTCATGCTGAATGAAGTTAACCAAATACCTTGCAGAGAAGAGGATCGTGTAGTTGCGAGTGGTAATCAGTCTTCCTTCTTTGGAATATGACAATGGTAAAGCATAATGAGGCAATCAATACCAAAGTTGAATATAGGGTCTCATGAGGAAAGATACTAGCTTGTCATGCTAAACTGTGTGATCTTTAGGCAAACAACAGTAGCCTAGATGTATTTCTCCACTTTACTCCCTGAGGTAATTTCTGCCTCCTTTTTCCCTAGCCCAGTCAGTTCTTTGATCCTGGCCGACCTTCTGAACCTTCTAGAAAAAAAAGAAATTTCTTCTACAGCAGCAAAGCAGGTATGTACCTTTTTGATTTTACTGTACTCTGAACCTGTGGCTGCTTACCCCCTTCGCGTAGCAAATTTGTAATAGGTGTCGGTCACTTTAAAAGGAAATGATTTAGAATGTTGGTGAAGGAGAAATTTTGTATCTACTATATACATATAATAGATGAAAATGCCTCATGTGTGTATAATTTTACAGATACATCTGCATATTTATTGTTAGAAGGGGGCACAAGCCAAATAGTAGATTTAAGTAATGTGAACTGAAGTCAAATAAACCCTGCTTCTGAACAGGCTGGACACTAGATCTCAATTTCACAGTTCAAGTCAGACCTAAGTGAAAGGTCAGTGGGAGCTAATCCATGACTTGCAGTTAAGCTGAGAGTATCAGTTCCTAGGTACTAAGGGACAGTAAGGTCTATGTTCCCAAGCATTAGCATGTGGAAAAGGACATAATTTACATGAATGTAGTCACAAAAAAAAGAGTTCTGCTTTGGCATACCCCTGAGTCAAAAGTAGAGAGGTCTGTCCTTCCTTTTATCCTTGCTTCTTTGAGCAAGTGCTATCATGGACCTCAAGCAAGTACTGATGGTAGAGATAGCTTCTCTTTTTAAATACCATCTTGCTTAGGACAGTCTGAAAAATCAGCTCTTGATGATTTGTATCTAAAACTGTGACCTGCTAATGATGGGTATCGTGACTGCTGTGTCTGTAGGCAAAATTTGGAGGTTTTTTGTGGTAGGAAATAATCTGTCATTCACCTGAAATTGTTGCCGTCCATTTATGTGGAGTGTGTTGTCTTTTCAAGTTAATTGTTATCCTCTAGGTAAGTATCTTAGACATTCACATTTCAGGTGTGAAAATCATCAGTGAAGCTGTTAATGAAGATATTTAACTTGCCTTGTCTGCTTTCAAGCTTTTAACACACTGAAATACATGGGGCCAGTTTCCATCTTTCTAGCACATGCTGATTTAATCCAAGTACAATTTTGGAATACTATTGAAGTCCGTTCACGTGTTTTTGCATGATTATAAACCAAGTGTAACTGTTGCAAATCTGACTTTTTACCCTACTTGGAGACACTTAAATTTCCTGGTTTGTTGTTTTCTTTTTTGGAGACGCTTGTGGTTCTTAATTAAGTTGGTCTTGTTGTTGGTCTGCTTCTGTGAATGGCCAGCTGCATATGACAGGCATCATAAATAAGGATTTAAGTGCCTGACTTCAGGCATGTGCATTTGGAAATTTTGGATTGGAAAAATAAAAGCTTCAAAAAGGAGATAAAGTATTAATAGGAAAAGCATTGGAATGCAGAGTGGTTCTGTGCCTGCAGGGTTATGGCACACGCATCAGTTTGGTCTCTGCATTTGAAAGGGAAGCTTCCGAAGTCTAGTCCTAACTCTGGTCTTCCTTGTGGAGGTAGAGACGGGGTACTAATGCTCTCCTACAGGAGCTTCTTGCCTTGTGATACATTTGTGTGCTAGCACTTCTGACAGGTTATGAAATGTCAAGAATTTCAGAGATGCTTTCCTTGTTTAATTACCAACTCCTTGTAATGTCCATGTTATCCTCGGTGTTCTGAAATTGGACACAGAGAAATAACAGTACTGTTTGCCATCACAGAGTGATGCTATCAAACTGCAGAAACCTTGCCACATTTAGAAAAGTATTTCGGTTGCCTGGATGTCAGAAGAATAACAAATGTTTATAACAATTCTCAGCAGTAGGCAGAGACACTGGATGGCCCGAGGGCAGAAAGGGCTATATATACACAACAGCAGATGAATTGCAGCACTTGGGGTGGGGGAGAATGAACTGCAGCGGTAGAGACAGATCCAACGAGCAAGGATGGAAGGGTTGGATGGGGTGATCGCGCAGACATGCATACACATACATGCTCGCTGCAGGAAGCTGTTAACAGTTTAAATTTTTAAAGAGATTTTGTGTTCAGTCTCTGCTGTATAAGGCACTAAAACACAGGCAGATAAAAGCTGAGAGCACTGATTATAGACGCAGAACATTGTATGGTAGGATGCATATGCCAAGGAAAGGGCACTGTGTGCTTACATAATTACCACTTAGGTAATTACAGAGCTCATGCCCAACTTGCCATCAAATATAGCATCCTACTCCAGAGGTCCCTGAAGCAGTTTCAGACTGGCATTACCTGTGCAGAGGGGAGCAGCTCTGCTGGTGTGTGGGGCTGTGGGGTGAGCGTGTCCTGGATCAGGGGACCTGCCCAGGCACATGCTGCAGCCCACCCCAGAGGCACCATTTTGAAGCCCACAGTGGGAGGCGCCGGTGTTGCTCATCCAGGGCTGAAACCAGTCTGATGGGGAGTATGCCCGAGATGGGGCCTCGGTCCTCCTTCGCAGGGCTGGCAGTGAGTACATCTCTGGTGCAAGGGGCCTGCCTTTGTGTTAGGGCATTGTGGGAAGACGCTGGTTCCTGGGCTGGGGAAGCAGAAACTTGCCCTTGCTGCTGGCAGCCATGCTGGCGCAACTTCGCGTGGACACCCTTGTCACGCGTTCATCGGGGATCTGTAGCAGCGTATGGAGCAGAGCAGACCCCAGGTCTTCTTTGCTTCTGCAGTTGCATAGGTCACCCACATAGGAATAACTTCAAGAGACCCACTTGGCACCCCTACTTTAAAGTAGGTGTCAGGGAAATGAGTACAGTACACAAACCTAAACAAAACCATCTGCTTTGACAATTATGGCTATACCATCTGGAGGACTGGACCCAGCTTGCTCCTCACTTCTGTCAGAGGCTGAGGGACAACTGCCAGCCATCGAGGCTTCCATCACTAGAAAGGAGAGATGCCCACAGGACTGACTGGAGTGGTACTGCCTGCTGCTTCCCTCCCACCCTTGGCAGCAAGTCACTGCAGATAGGGTTTCCAGTTGGAGTGTTCTCAGGCACAGCAGTCAGCTGGCACATTCACCAGTTGCAAAATGTTTGATATGATGCCCATGGCAGCCAGACATGTAAGTCCTGATTAATTCATCTTGACCAACGGTTTGCTGCTATGCCTGTGTAGGCAGAGACTGCAGAACATCATTAAAATCTAATCACGCTCAGGCAAGAATCAATAGTAGAAACTACTGAGATTTCAGTAATGGAAATGAGGCCTGAGATTCTCGTTTTGGCTCTGGAGACTTCATAATTTGATCCTCCTGTTCTGGTGCAGGCAGTTTGTGTAAATGAGTTGAAATCATTTTTTAAACTGCTTTCTTTAGATTCGTACTCCTTGCCAAGTGGAGAAACACATTTTTAAAAGTGCATCCTTGACAGGTCTTGGCCACATCTCTTTCTGCTTTCCTACATACCTGTAACACGCAAGAGCCTTGATAACATTGTTGCTCTACTAGCTAAGTGGAGATGCTTGTTACCAAATTGAAAAGTACACATGATGCAGATGTCACAGGGGGAATGTGGTGCCTTCAAGGTTTATAATGGACAAGCTTTTTTTGGTGCCAGGCGATGTTTGGCATAGGAATAGCAGGGAATCAGAGCTGGATCTCTGACTGTCAAGCTGTCCTGCCCCTGATCTAAGTCAATCTGATGCATTAGTTGCTCCTGGGTAACTCTGCCATGGTTGGCTGCGTAGATTTTGTTTGTTGCAGATTTTCGCCTCCTGTAGCCCATGGCATCCTGCTTGAATACATGCCAGTCCTAAAAATCACATCTGCCTTTTTCCAGGAGAGCGGTATGGCTTATTGATTGTCCAGCCCCTGATTTGTGCAGCACTTTAGGCTCTCCAGGGTGTTTTGCTGTGGGCTGTGCTGCGCAAAGAGGACAGGGCTCCTTCTGAGGGGTGATGTACCATCCTGGTGCATTGAGAAGCCTCGAGGACAGAAAGCTTCCTGCCCGCTCCCTCAGGGAAGGAGCGGGAGGGGGCTGCCTGGGGTAGCAGTGGAGTGCAACAAAAAAAAGGCAAGTGGCTGCAGGCACTTTGAATCTCTATTGGGTGTATTTCTTTCTAGGGATATTCCAGGTAGCCCTGGCACAATGATATTTAAGTACTGCACTAGAAGGAAGATCTTCTAGAAGACATCATATACTGCACTGATTTATTTAGATATAAACATCTGAAGGCTTTACTTACAGCGGTTGTAACTCTGGCTGCTTATCAGTAACTTTAATATTGTGATCTGCCTGTAACCCTCTTACAGGGGAAAAAACAAGATGTATCTGCCACAATGCAGCTGCATGTCATTACCCTTTCAAGGTCTCCTGCGGAGATGTAAGATCCCATAAAAAGCTTTGGGGTACCGCGGGCAAACAAATCTCCTCTTGCAGGAACTGTGTCAGTGCATGGTTCTTAAATACCTGTTGTGGCTACAGAATTGTTTAACTGAAGGGCTTTTGTACCAGAAAATTCTTCATGCTGAAGAAAATTGCTGGGGTAGTTAAGATAGCATCCCACATGCTCTATTTTTCCTAAGTTGTCTTGCTGCCCTGCTAATTTTTTAACATGCAGTTTGAATGCCCCTTCTCGTCTCCCCATCCCAGCCTCTTCTTCATCCTACAGTGAGTATTTAAGGCTGAAATTTGACATCCATTTCCATATTGCTACACAGCAATGGCCCAAATGTACAATTATATCTTCAGCTCAGGATGGAGCACAAGCAGCTGTTTTAATAAGAGTTTTCTCTCTCTCCTCCCACAGCTCTGAAATAAGAGCAAAGGGAATACAGAAAATGACTGCCCAAGGAAATTGGTTTTTTATAAATGTTCTCTTCTCTCAAGTTTATTCCAGGGCGATAGCCCTGCTACAGCATAGGAAGACACACAAGCATTAGCAAGTGATTATTCCGGAGGCCTGGGTTCGCCCAGCATTCCAGTACTTGGAGGTGATGCATAGGTGGGCTGGAGGTGCTGCATTCATTCTGCCCAGCACTATTTTTCTTCTGCTTTGTCATACATATCCTCATTACAGCTTGCTGATGAGGACTGGTGATGGGATGAGTTACCTGGGATTGGACTTGGTACAATAGTCAGCTAATCGTCAATTCCCGGGCAGAGACATTTCTCATGGAAACGCATTTTCTTAATGCTCTCAGGCAGCTCTTGTGAATAATGTTAGATGAGCACGAGTAGTGCCTGAGGAACGGCCTCGCCGCCAGTGAGAGTCTCTGCTGTGGTGCTCCCCTCTCCCAGCAAGGGAGTGGCAGCTCAGCACAGCTAGGTAGATGGGGCTGTGCTCGGCAAACTTCTTTGAACAGGTACTATCACTGGTAGTAGTGGGCAGCTCCCGGTACTGCGGTGGGCTGCAGAGCCGCGGTTGTGAACCATTAACCTGCATTCGTGCAGTGAGTGATGATGCTTTGTCTTATTTCAGGATGCAGAGGAGGGAGGGTATAATAGCTCTCTCAGTGAGGCATAGGATTAAATCCTGGGTTTGTTCACGTTTAGACAATCTGCTCTTGCTTTAACTAAAATCTGGCTTCTTGGGTCAGTAACTGAAATACTGCATGTAAACAGCATTGGTAAGTCAAGACACTGACCTTTGCTACTCATTGTGATTTTCAGGTGCTTGCGGAATTGTGGAAGGGGGAAGGGAAGACTCCTCTTGAAATTGTTAAGGAAAAGAAGCTTGAACTGATACAGGATCAAAAAGAGCTCGAACAGATCTGCCAGACGGTGATTGATGGACAAGAAAATGAGGTGATTACGGTGGTGCTGGGAAGCTTGTGCACTATGGCAGTCTGTGGCACTAAAAAGGGGGTGAAAATGGCCTCTCTATTTTTTTTCTTTTGATTGGCATTTGAGCTCTAGAGCCAGTATAGGAGTATTAAACCTGCTGCTGAGATACTATCAGGCTTTTCTTCTCCTTTCTTATTTTACTAAGTGGATTTTTTTTTAAATTGGAGCTTACACAAAATGATCAGCAGAAGAAATTACTGGTCTGGCTAATGCGCTAAGTCATTCTGAGAGACCATAAAAATTTAATGCAGGAAAGCAAAACTGTTGGGTCTTCTCCCTCTTCAGCTATACTGCCATCAACCTGACCTGGCCACCCGGCCCCATAACTCTGATTTTTATGTCGTCTGTTGTGATACTAGGGCAACGCTGTTAAACTGTGCTGAAGCTGGAGATTGAAGTTACCTGCCAGCCAGACATATATTTATAGAATTAGGAATTAGAGACTGTATCAGAGCCGGCAAGGCAAAAATTTCACTTGCATCTGCCTCTTTGCCATGTGTCCGTCTCCCTCCACTGCCAACGAGATGAGTCTGGCTGGCTCTCCTGCCTAACAGTGGCTGTGGGGAGAGGAGGAGCTGGACCCCTGTGGCTGCGGCACCGATGGCTCCAGAGCTGCTGGCTGCTCTGCGGTTCTGCTGCTGGGCTGTGGCAGCAGCGCAAGTGCTGCAGTAGGAAAGATGGGGTTTTGGCTCTTCCCCATCTCCTTGGAAGGACATGCAGCAGCCTGCGTGGCTCATCAGTCTAACAAGGTCTGGGCTGAGAAAAAAGAAAGAAAAACCTTGTTGATGAGGAAAGGGAAGAAGTGGGAAAGGGGTCTTTGACAGAGTCTAAAATGTGCTTTATAAAAAGCAAAATGAAAACAAGTGCTTTTATGTTCTCTGTAGTGAAAACGTAAAAGCAGAAGTGAATAGCTTACTTCTAATATAAACATTGTCTAGATACATTTGCCATTTGGAAAAAAACATTAACATCTTTTGAGAACAATACCACCTACCCCAGATCTCATTGGGAGATGCTTACAGCTTTACAAGAGCTTTTGATAAAGAAAATGAGCTTGCAGTAGGTCGGCATGACCTCCATCAGGCTGACTCATTTGCAGAGCCTGATAAAAATGCTGCTGTATTTTCAAGACTGGTACGGAAGCACAGGTGTGGACAGAAAGAATATTAGAACTGATTGGGAAGTGCAGAAGCTGAAGGTCCATAACTACACTGCCATTTCAATAATAATACTTTCTCTGAGAATTTAATTCCTCTCTGTTTTCCAGTGTTTTAGTCAAGCCAAATGCAGTAGAATGGCCTCACTTCCCTACTTTTTCCAGGTGATCTTTTGCCAAGGCAAAAGCTGCTTTGAAGGCCTGTAATTCACTGCTTTAAATCGCTGCAAGAGCTTACCTTACCAAATAGCGTTAGCAGAGTACTTGACAAGGGGAAAAAAAAAAAAATAGTAGTATGCTGTGCTTCGTGATAGTAACCTTCTTTAAAATGCACTAACTTACAAACAGTTGCTCAAGCCAACACTGAGCACTTTACGAAAATGCAGTATCTATCTGGATTGTACTGCACTGTGCCCCACATAGGTAATTTTTAGCAGATCGGGAGTAATGAGTCCTTTGCTTCTCTACAGAGAAGATTTTAGACTGCAAATAATTTGGATCCTGTGATGAGTAGCAATATTTGCATTTGTGCTTGGTATTGGCACAGTTGGTTGTTCATATGTTCACAATCCTTCCCTTAATATCTGTAAATATGACATCGTGTTTAACTGAAGCTGTTGCATTTTGCCCCGTAACTCTGACAACGTAAAGAATGTCTTCCCTGCCACACAAACAATATGAAGGGCAGACGCTTGGCTTTTAGCTGGAGCATCTCCTTTCAGAATGCCCAAAAGTGAAATGTTGAATGCTTTTTTCACTGTCTTTACTTAGCTTTTAAATATGGCTAGGTAATTTGTGCTATTGTGCAGGTAATTGTGCATCAAACACAACTGTCTGATAGGAGGTTGTATATCTGATCCTTTAATTAATTGCAATGTTGCAAAAGATTCCTAGCTTAAAGGAAGTAACATTGCTGTTAAAAAACACCTACATCTGTGCTTGAAGAACCTCACAAATATTATCAAATAGGCTACAATTCGATGCAAATTACTTGTTATAACTGAACACTATATAGAGTAAAAAGGTAGATCCTATTAGCAAGTGAAGTGCATGTTGTTTTTCTGGCTCTCTTCCAGGAATGTGCTGTTCAAGTTGCAGACACTGTTAAAATCCAAAAATGTTTCCTGACTTTTTCAATACGAGGAGATATTTCTGTTTGTTAGTTGTGAGGCTCTGCTGCTGTAGGGACTTGCTGGTGTCTCAGGGGAGCAGAGAAGGACCTTATTGCAAAGCTGAAGGCAGTTTTTATAAATAACACCTTAGCCCAAACAATATTCTACCACAATGGTCCAAACAAGAATAATATTCATACCCTGGCTGTGAATGCGTGAAGATGTCCTGTTTTCCTGTAACAGTGGTGTCTCCTATTCTCTTTTTTTTCTTTATAGGTTATGGCCATAAAGGCAGGAAATCAAAAAGTTCTAAATAAGTTAATTGGCCTGGTACAAAGAGAAACACAAGGACGCTCCAATCCTGTTATGGTGAAGCAATTATTAGAAAAGAAGCTGTCAGAGTAGCCACAAGAGGAAAAATCACCCACGTGTTTATAGAAGACATGTGCTTCGTGCTGTCTGATTCACTGCAAATGACCTTTGGTGCCTCCTTGTGTAGCATCAGGATTGTTGGATATACTTCAAGCAGCGTAACATTCTAGCCTTCCCTGGATGCATCGGCCAAAGCCAGATGAGCAAAAGTGCAGCAGGAGATGATACAGTCATTTGCATCTCCCTCACTTCGGTGTGGCAGTTGGAAACACGATTTCCACACTGCCCTGGGAAGCAACTTCCCAGGGCTGCCTGAGAGTATGCAGAGTGCTGAGGCTGTATTGGTTAGTTTTGTAATAAAACAAGTGTAAACTCAGCTTTTCTAGCTGCCTTTTTGCGAGAAGGGAAATTCACAGGTCTTTAACACAAAATCTGGTGGTGCACACCAACAACTCACTGTAAATTAGTGTGAGCACACTACTAACAATGATTAAAACACCTAGTGGTAATTAAGACCACGTGTGCCTCCATACCTGCCTAGCAGAAAGGGAAAAAAAATGTCCACTGCTATTACGCTTCCTGGTTTCTGAGAGAAAGGATGAAGTTGCTAGCTGCTTACGTGCGTGCCTGAGGCTAGTGCCACACACAGCTCTAAGTGCCTACATTTAAGAACTAGCGTCAGATTGTTTGCTTGCCTGCTCCTTGTTACGTGCCCAAACATCTGCTTTGCCTACTTGCAGCTCTCCTCCATTCTGAAGAGTGCCCAGCAGATGCATGCCTGAGCCCTTCCCAGGTTCACATCCCATTTTGGCCTGTGAGGTGGAGCATAGCAGACATGCTTCTGCTGGCCCTGCACAACCTACAGAGGTAAAAGTAGTACCTTTCTCTTATGCAGTAACTCAGTAAAGGGACCGTTTGCTCCAGTTTGGTTTTTACTCTGCTCGCCAGAATTTGACCCCGTGTTACAAATGCTCCAAGCCCAGGGCTGCACAATTCTGTGCACCAGGGCTTTCTGCTGTCCCTTGGCCCAGCACCACATTGTAGAAGTAATTCAGCATTGAGTTGGCTTACCAAAACTGAGCAGAATTCAGTGGCCTTCCAGGGTCTGCTCCACTATTTAATCCTGAGGAGTGTTTTATGGTTTTTTGGTGGTTTTTTTTTTTAATAACATTTTTAATGTATTTTTTTTTAATACAATTTTAATACATTTTTCAGCTCCTAGCTTTAAGTAGCCACTGAAATCCAGGGTCCTAGAGTGAAGCTCCCAGTTCCAACCCACTTTGGCTGATCAAACCATTAACAGGAAACGCAACTAGAGAAAGCCTATCAAATTTACATTTATTAGGGAAAGAGATCCCATTCAGTCCCAGGGCTTTGAAGTCCTTAATCCCTTCTGGAGGCTGCTAAGCCGTACATTTAAAGATGACATTTATCTCAGACCTCAGAGGTACTTCTTCAGAGCTGTTCTTTAGGATAGGCCTGCAGGGTACACATTGTCACAGGAGTGCAGCCGGTCTGGCTCTGGGACTTCAGTCACCACCTTTTGCAAATGTGGTGCTTGCAACACTGGTCCTAACTGGGTTGATGGCAGTTCATTCTTGTGAGCAGTAGTGCTAAGGTGTGTCTCGAGGAGGACATTTCTGTACAAACTGGCTCATGCTTCAAGTGTGAGCTCTTAATTAGGAGAAAAAAAAACCCTGTAGTTTTCACATACATTTAATGAATAAAACGTATACCCATTATTGACATAAAAATAACTTTACAATTCCAAAGTCAGACAGCTGACAAAAATCAGTAACATGGTTGCAATGAAAAACTGTGACCTTTCAAAAAAAAAAAAAACAACCCAAAACACAACCAAACTTCCAAAAACTCCCCCAAAAAACAAAACCCCAAACCACCACCCCCAAATTTTCATGTAACCTGACCTTCACACAAAGGCTTTTACTATCACTTTTCACATCATGAGCAAAAAGTACCATTTTTACTTACGGTAGTGTGAGTTTTCAGGTAAGTGTTCAGTCAATAAAGGTTTAGATTTTACAGCAAACTTTAAATTTTCAGAATTCTGTTCAACTCTTGCCCTGGCAGCAAGAAACAAAAAGGCACAAGGGCTTCTGTATGAAATCTTGAATCTTAATTTAAAGGTCCTCCCTTCAGTTTAGAAAAACACAATTGTTTCCAAAAAGTGGTCCTCCAAGGTTAATGCTTTTTGTTGCGCAGCTTGACGCTGCTGTGCTGAGTTTACTCTCTGCTGTAGTGGGTGCCTCTTAAAAAAAGAGAAAGCAAAACGATGATGTAGTTGCAAGAGTAATAATTAAGCTGTATTTCAAAGAGGGAAGGATCTCCACTACTGTAGCATGGCTATGGTAAATGCCTTTTTAATGGCTACATTTTCTTAACCACTCTCTTCCTACATAATTACACTTCACTAACATGGTACAAAATCTGTTAAAAATCATAAGCCAAGTTCTATATGAGTACAGCATTAGATCTTTAAATGGATTTACTGTAAATCTCAATCTATTTTCACCTCCACCTGCCAGACACAATGGATAACAAGAAAGATTAAAAAGGGATAATTGTAATATTCTTCCCCTTCCAGGGAAGGGAACGAGCAGCTATAGTCTATACATTTTGCACGATATTATGAAACAGTCACTTCTAACATTTTTAAAGAAATCTTTTGCAGACGCACACAAAATGTAAATTTCTGTGATAGAAAAAAGCGGTTTGAGTCAAATGAGACCAAGATGATGAATCGTTTTAACATTTGTGGAGCTACTAGCTACCAACTTTGCAGCAGCAGTAGCAGACAGCGCTAGGACTGAGAGATGCAGAGGCTCAGCAGGGGCAGCTAATACCGCTCCCACTGCGGCAGCCTGCGCCAGCAGGCTCATCAGTCATGCTACACCATTTTGGCTGAACCAATACAACCAAAACACCGGATCCTTTTTTGCCTTCCACCGGCCTGACACAGCAGCCTAAATACAAGCACCAGCTTCTTCTGTGTCCTGAATGGAGCTCAAGGCAAATTCTAAATACTCCACAAGTGAACTCTGTACTGCACGAAACAGCTTTGGTTTCTGTTTGTATAGCAGTAGTTGACGGAGCACATTACAAGACAGAAGCAGCAGCCTCAAGGAATTTAGTATCTGCTATTGTAAAGACAAATAAAAAAAGCCCCATAGAACAGGTGGGTCTGCAAGATAAAAGGCAGAGCCTGACTCTGAAGTGTTCGATGGCAGAACATTCTACAGACCAGGAGGCTGGTTTAAGTGTGGCTGTATCGAGGGTAGGAACTCAAGAATTAAGATTGAGGCTTTGACCCAAACATCCATGTCTTATTTAGCTACAGCAGTGCTCTCTGATCTACTGATTGCAGATGCCATCTGTGCAACAGCATTAGGCGGGGTGAATTAAGGACAGTTTCATGCAGATTTTCAGCAGTAACCATCCACGAACAGAGGGCCAAGGAAAATGCTCGCAAATTAAAAGCTGATACCAGACACTGTCACAGCAATCTCAACACTCATTGCTGGAAGTCCTTTAGGAGGTCATTCCTGACGGTGGAGAGATGATACGTACTGTCCTGTAGAGCTGAAGTATCCCATAGCTGAGGTTGCAGAGGAGAAGAAAGTTGTTGAAAAAGATGCTAGCAATGCTGAAGTAGCGAAGAAAGAATTTCTAGTGCTCAGCCTTGACTGCAGAGTTTAATTTTAACTGTGTTAGAAATAGAAGCATATGATAGGAACCTTAACTAAAAAATTTACAGCTAGTGTATTCACACTGCGATTTCACTGTGGCCCCTTTCCACTCTAATTCTGTGGTGTAGTGTCAGCGCACTGTAATGTTCTTGGAGGGATGCTCAGAACAGAACTACCTACACACTTGCACAACCACTGACCTCGTCAGCACCTTCTCGGCGATTTATGGCCTTACACGTATGCAAAACATGTAGAGTGTTTGGTTTTTTCACATAAAGAAAAACAAAGTGGGTTTTCACTGAACTCTCTCTTCTCTAACTACATGAGAAAAGATGGAATCGCATGCTGGTGGCCTTTCTGCTCTTGTTGCCTGCATCATCCTTGCAATGCTGTTTACGAATACTCCAAAGTTAATTGGATTCTGCTTCACTTAATGGCCACGTAAAACCAAGTTACAGCAGACAGGAGATCAAGATTTATCTTAAAAGCTTACCTGCATTGGGTTGGCTGTCAAGTGCATGTCATCCCTGTCCCCTCGGACTAAACAGTGTGAGGAAGGCAATAAAATACAAAATCCCAAGTTGTCATGACCTGTGATTTGCTGCGCCTTTTTCTGCCCATTGCAATGGCAAATTTAAACTCTGTCTAGAAAAGCCCTGGGGCCAAGCCAGATCAGTAATTAACTAATTATGGATTACTGCAGCAGGAACAGCAAACCACCAGGAATGCTCCTTCTCTTCTGACTGTGCTCCAACACACACCCCACACCAGGCCATACAGCCTAAACCTACAGAAATGCTCAGGTGTTGCCATGAGACAATAAAGATGCAAACAAAGGTGGAGTTTCATGAGCAATGCAGCTGTGCGTGGGCCTAATGAGTAATGAGTTCTGACCAAGAGTTCCTCCTTCTCGGACTGTCCTAGTCCCAGAGCCTTGAGATCTGCTATAGGGTGTACAGGCATTTCACAACTGTCTGCAGCATCTGCTGACCAGTTGTATGTACATATGGAGAGGGACCCTGACCTTTGCTGTCCCTCCTTGCCTTTATCCATGTATGTGAGGTCCAACTCATGACCCTGCAAATGACTCCATCTCACCTGCCAGCTTCTCCCCCCAAAAGACTAGCGACAGCTGTGCCAGACCCCACCTTGCCCCAGCACCTGCATGGGCAGGCAATTAACTTCATGCCACATCCATTGCCTTGTCATCACAGCCTTTGGAGAAAGGCCTAAGAGCTGAGTTCAGTGCTTAGAGCTGCAGAGGTTGTACTACCATGAGCTAATCCTAACACGAGTGCTTGAAGGCCAACGGTTTCACTGTAGGGA